GTAAAATATGGTGATATAAAAGAATGCATAGAACCAGAATCTATAAGCACAGATGCTGGTATACCACAGAGTGTAATGATACCTTTAATTGAGGCTTCAGCATCTTGATGAGTCAATGCGTAGACTCTTGCCTGTCCTCCCTCACTGGGTCCTCGCTGTTGCTGTCTAACTATTTGGGGTGGAGCTCGATATTGATGTTGCTTCTGAGGGCAATCCTTCGACATGTGCCTTGGTTGTTGACAATAAAAACATACACGTTGTCCCATGGGACATGAGGTGGAAACATGATCTGTCTTCCCACAGAAATAACATCTTATGACGACTTGATTGCTAGAAGCTCCTACTTATTGATGCCCAAACTGTTTGCCTTTGCCTTTCTTTGAGGGTCAAGAATGTGATCCCCATTGTGAAGCACTAAAAGATCACTTTCGATCTTTTACTTGTTGTAGTCCATTATTCAATTTCTCCACCACTAGAGCTCGATTTAACACTTCAGCATATGTTGGCAAAATTAATACTGCAACGAACTTTCTAATTGATGATTGAAGTCCCCTCTCAAAATGACGAGCTCTTTGACTTTCATTGAAAGCAATATGTGGAGAGAACTAGGCTAACTCAGTGAAATAATGATCATATTTCATTATAGTTCTACTTCCTCGGTGGATGTTAAGGAAATCTTGTTGCTTCTCAAAGCAAACTAAATCAGGAAAGAACTGCTCATAAAATGCATCCTTAAACTGCTCCCAAGTTATTACATTACCTCCAACCTCTAACATCCTCCTTTTTGAGGTCCACCGAGTGTTTGTCTTCCCTTCCAAAATAAAAGAAACAAAAGGCACTTTCTGATTTTTCCTACATTCGATAGCTTCGAATGTCTTTTTCACTTGACGAATCCAACGTTCAGTAAAGATTGGATCTGGTTTGCCCTCAAAAACTGGTAGTCCCAATCCCTCAAAGTGATCTAAGATATTATTCCTACCCCATGGAATTTCATCTCGCTCATTCTGACGCTGAAAGTATCCTCTAATAGCATTGAGGACTCCTTGTACGTCATCTTGAGCATTGACGGGTGCTGGGGCATAAGGGGCATTCTGCAAAGTCAGAGAAGCTGGCCCATAATCAGTGATAGGTGTATGTAAGGATTGGGTTTGCTGTACAATGTGTGGAGCTTCTAAGTTATTATTTGTTCAAACACCTCTCTCAGTGCGTAGACTAGTAGCATTGTGACCATGAGTACCCCAAGTGATAGGACCGTTAATCTTTGGAATTTGCTCCATTACTCCTATAATAGGTTAAAGATAATCATCGGTTAAAGTCGATCAATAGATCTAATACACCTATAGGCCCTAGACCATGCTCTAATATCATAAAAGATGTCACATCCTGGAATTTTTTTTTTTCATATCTTTCCATTTATTCAAAACCAAGTAGATAAACATTACTTTATTCATCAATATCAAAGAATACAAATTAGTTTTGACTTGAACCCTAGTTTAATCGATCCAATTGAACTCAATTTACTAGAACCTAACTGAATCGATCTCTAATCCTCATTTAACTGGCCTGGAACTACCCTAGACTAATATAATTTGGACTAGACTAGGTTCAATTTAGGTTAAACTGACTTGAATAAGTCAATCAATTCGGAATCACCCTGAATCAATCTAGACTAATCAAGCATAGTTTAATTCAATCAATAGGCTCAAATCCAACAATAATATTGAGCTAGATTGGGCCAGCCCATCTACTGGTCATGTGCATTACATATGATTGGACATGCATAACATAAAGCTAGCCCAGCCCTAGCTCATGGACTGGTCTATGCATGTAATCGCCCATGATGGTTGGGCTGAGTTAGCCTATGGGCCAAGGCCTGACCCGTGGGTTGGGCCTAGCTTGTGAGCAATTTCAATCCAATTAATATTCAATTTTATACCATAATATATATTCATTAACAATATAAACAAAAACATAATAACACATAGATAAGGAGATAAACTTTAATACAAGAAAATCACATTCTAAATTTGAATAGAAATGATAATACATTAAAAGATAGATCGAGAGATAAGCTTTAATATAAAGAAATAATATTCTAAATTCAAATAAAAATCATCCTTTCAATACATATATAATTTCAACATATTGTAGTCAAATAAAATTTAAATCATTCAGAATAGCATATTTTAAATTTCAAATCAAAGAATATCAAAAAATTTAGATAATATATTTTAATCTAGATAAGATTAAAGATAAATTGTAATGTCATGAAATATCATATAAAACATATAAATTTTTAACATATTTAAATCTATAATAAAAACCTTAATAAGGGGTCAAAAAATATTATAAATACTGATTGACTTTAATGTAATAATAAAAATTTGACATTTAAAGGACTAATAAATATTTTTCAAACTACAAAACTTTCAACATTTAAAGAATCAAATAAAAACTAAAACTTTTATATTCAAGAAAGGTAGGGAAACCTACTTCTCGTCAATAGGATGTAACTCCTTATTCCTCCCGTTGCTTGGCTCAACTAAATGAGAAACAAAGGAGAGAAATCCCTCCCCTTATATAGGAGGAGGTAAGCCTCCATTAAAGGAAATCTATTTTTATTTTCATATTTATTTAATATAAATTATTTTTATTTATTATATTAACAAATATGATATCACCCTATTTGGAATGTTTAATAGTTCTTTCCTAATTTGTATTAACAAACAAGGAAATAAATTAAAATTTCCTAAATTACAATGGCAAGTAAGAAAAAAAATTAATTTTTAACTTATTATTATTTTACTTGATTACACTAAACTAGCTTGAACTGATCAAACTTATCTGATTTAATCAATCAACAAGTTCAAACTAATAAAGGAAGAGAAAATTAGACTATGTTATATAGTGCTAGCCTATAGTGCTAACCCAAGATAAACCAATCCACTTGAGTCATGGATGAGTCACGTCGTAGCATATGTTTATCTTAAGTAATAGGTAAAGCTAAGGCACAATGGGCTAGATAGAGGAGCGATAATATATATAGCGTCAATCACATAATTGGGTGGGCCTAATTTCACGATGTAGGCTAAGCCTTACTTATAAGTTAGGCTAAACCTTACAATTGAACTTGGCTATGCTTAACTTTATAGGTTGGGAAGTGCCTAAATATATGAATTGGGGTTGTATCTAACTACATAGATTGGATTGCACCTAGCCACATGAGTTGGATCATGCTTGGTCATATGGGTTGAGTCATACTTTACCACATAGGCTGAGTTATACATGGTTATATGGGTTATGTCATACTTTGCCATATGGGCTAGGTTATACTTAGTCACATGGGCTAGGTCATATATGACCATATGGACTAGGCTATACATGGCCACATGGGCTAAGTCCTACAAAACCATAAGAGTTGGGTTGGTTTCAACATATCAACCCGACTCAAGTTAGGTCCTAATTGGACTCCTCTTATTAAATTAGATTTTAATAGTTTAAATTATCAAAGAATAACTTAAATCCATGAATTAAAGAATTTAAATTTATGATTTTAAATTTAAAACTAATTAAATCATAAAAATTCACATATAATTCTTAAAACATAAATATATCTAATTAAATAAATTAAAACTATTATATTAATCCAAAAATAAAGATTTTAATAATTAAATCAATCTTAAAAATTATATAAGCTTAAGATCAAATAATCATTCTAATATCATGAATCAATTATTATTATTTATTAATTATAAAATTTTAAAATTAAAATATTATTATACATCATAAAACTATAGTAATCCTAATATCAAATATTTCAAAACATGAATAAAAGATAATTAAAAAATAATAGATAATCATCTCTCTCCTTAGGACCCTCTATTAGGGTAATACTCTCTTCAATCCTTCTATTGTCAAGCTTAACGAGGAAAGAAGGAGGAGTGATTTCTCTTCGAAAGTAAATAATAATTTAAATTTTATTTTAAATATATTTTTATTTTACTTTCACACTCAAAACTAGAATATAAACTATTTAATTCTTAAAAATCATATCACTCATTAGAAAATAAATAAAATAATAATTTGATTCATTAATAAAATTCTTAATTGATTCACATGATTAAAGAAATTAATTTTAATCATTTTCTTGATCATACTATATAAACAAAGAAGTTAATAATTTAAATAAAATAGTATATTATTCATTGTCATTCCAAATCTTGTGTTTTATTATATTGGCGAAAAAAATCACAATCGAGTGATTCAAAATGAAAGCTGTGGAAGAAAAAGAGCTTAAGATATTAACCACCGTGCATGACCGATCCACCCACGAATAAAACGAACAGTCTGTTGTAGTTCAAGAATCCTTCTTCGCTTTCTCTTCCGAGGAGGGATCGTCGCCTTAAGCGATGGAAGCGGCGATGACATCTGTCATGACTTAGCTCGGTGCGGAGGACGGGATTGTAGTAGTCGGCGCGGGCGGCCATACACTTATTGAGCGAGTGGCTCACCTCCAAGCACTCGCCGGAGGTATCCGTGCCGCTCCTCTCGGCGTCCATGACGCACTTCTCCCAAGCAATGAAGCCGTCCTTGCTGCCGCCGCCGCCCTTCAAGAAGAAGCAGAACCCGCACTCCAATTCCTCCTCCCCCTGCTTCGATCCCACATATAGAGCGTCAGTGGAAGAGGGGGAATCAGCAGGAGGCGCGGAGACTCTGGATTCTCGGTCGTAGTGGATCGGGGGAGGAGGTATTTTAATTGGTTAATGTTGTAAATTTCTAACGGAAAAAAATTAATGTTCACAGCAACATTTATAAATTGAGAATATATATGAAAGGAAAATAGGATTATGGTTGCCTATTAATTTACTACAAGAAGGATTAGTGAATTCAATACATGAATTAGATGTTTCGTGTGGGTTTATGTTGCATTGGAAGCAAATACATGGATCTTTGCATGGCCAACAGGCATTTTACAGATCGTATACTTTTAATTTCTGTTTATTATTTGCATACAAAAGTAACTTCCTGTGGGGTATCATGCCGTATGTTCCACCGCTTCATTTAGGTGGCGTTCTCCATATCTTCTGCTGTTCATCAAAGCTCCCAATCACTGCAGACTGCTGCTTATCACCTAACAAATCTGCAAGCAGCTTGTAATATGCCTCGCTGTCAAATTCATCCACTATGTTCACTAACTTTCCATATCTTTTGTCTACTGTAATCTGCCCATCCAGGCTCATGTTCCCAGTTAAAATAGTAATCTTCTCCGTTTGCATCGTTGCGTTTAGTTTAGAATGTTCAACCAAGAAAACTGCACCAAGGACTTCCCCCAGAAATATTTCCTGCAGCACCACAAGAAAAAGAACAAACAGTAAGTGCACATTCGGATACAAGCGGAAAAGAAATGCTGGTAAACTACCATGTGATGGTATAGTTTTGGTTGCTTCTGCTGCAGTTTGTCGAGCAATGACAGCAAGCTATGCGCAAAAATGGACTCAGGAGTCTTCTCTGCAAGCTTTAGGTTTTGTAAGGTCCTCTTAAAGGAGCTCGCTTTCTGCTGAGCACTGAGAGGAATAAGCGTGATCCTAAGATTCGACTCCATAACCTTCTTCGCAGCTAAAGGGTCAAGGAACATGTTGAACTCAGCGAACTCGTTCGAAGGAACCGTGAAGACGTTTCCTCTCTTA